CAACTACGAGTCATAAACCAATGCCAGTCAAATGCAAGACCAGGATAGTTTTCAATGTTTCTAATAACAGCAATCCATGGGAATATCTACCGGTCCGTCATTTCCGCATTGGCAACGACGACCTTCTACATCGGTAAAGTCCATAGAATGACTGATCATGTTATGGTTTAGGTATGCTGGTATGTTCGTGGGGTGCATATTAACGTTGGCAACGTTGGTTACCGTCAGCCTATAAGGATCTAATAAGCTCCCGTCTCCAAATCATCAGACGCGATCACTTTACCACGCGCGCCACCGCTGCCGAAATCTATACGCAGAGACGGTCGGGCCATCTCTTGGGTTTCTTGGCCTCCTCGGCAATCAGATATTGTGATATGAGATGTCGACTTCTAGCCCCCATGCACGCTCATGAAAATCAAACGAGAGACGAACCACACGGAACCCCTTCCAGCCAGTTATATGTAAAAGCGAAAAAATTTCAATAATGAACGAGGGAATGACCTAATGACATGTTTCAATTGTCATCATTGGTAATCTCTACCAGGTTTTGCATCAACTACACCACTGTAGGTACTCAACGACTATGCAAATAAATTATCCAAAAGAGAATTCTTTCCGAAATATGTTCCTAGGAGATATACATATTAAAGGTATATATCGGTCCTAAGGTAAAACTTTCATTTCTTATTATTATTCTATATTGGATGTCATCAATAGGACACGCTTTATTTTAGCACATTGTTGATTGTATATGACACTTTGGACTCTATAAAATGAGCTCCTAACAGTGAAGAAGATAGCCCAGCTTGAGAAACCTTCTCATCATCATACCTCCCTGTTTATTTCCGATCTCTCCCTTTGAGTCTGATTGGCCAAAACCGCTTACGTTATGCCTCAAATATACATATCTCAAGCCTTTATTGAGTCTCGATTTGCCAAAGTAAACCAGAAGCTTTACAGCAACTTCCTTAGCACATAATATGCCCTCAACTAATTTCAAGTACCTTTATGATTCAAATTTCAAGAATCCGAGGTAATATGTATAAATATAAGGTCTTCGAGAATATGATGTCTTTAGTAGCTACCATATATCTCGCAATGCTTTCTTCCACAGGTGTAGCTTTCAATAGCCGAGTCAAACTTCACCTGAGATCATTTATAAATTGTAAGTTGGTCGTAGAAACATATTGCTTTTATGGGCCATATCGTCTGTGAAAGTTTGAAAATTGATTAGAACTAATACACAAGTGAAATGAAGCGAGTTTACAAGCTGCAAGAGCCGATATAGTTCTACTTAAGAAGATCTTTTAAAACAACCTAATACTTGCTAGTTAAGCCTTCTCTCTATAAATATAGCACTGAAATAGTGAATCAAGTTATACCAAACCTAACCGCTTAACATAGTTATAATTTCCCTTTATACGAAAGCCCTTATAAGCATTGAGTAGGTGTTATGTCTCATACAGAAACTCGAGCCCCTATATCTTCATCAAATGATAGTGTGAATGAAATCTTATCAGCATATTGGAAATTAGCCATTCCATCTTCAGAAAAATATCACCTAGCCATACCGAGTGTTACCTACGGCGCATTTGTCGATGCTAGTATAGTGCCAGGTCCCTAGGGAACCCCGTGGGACAAAGTACTCCTAACGACACCAGTAATATATTCATAGCTGGGTTAATAGTTCCTCTTATTTTAGAAGAGTGATAGGTATTCTCACATCGAGTACAAAATTCAGCTATCGACTCCTCTTACCCCTAGTGTTACTACTATCCTATAGTCTTTAAAGGGAATTCTAATTTTCTAGTAATTTAACAAGTATCAACATCCAGGTAGCATAGTGGTTTTGCGTGATCTAGACTACCTTAAGTTCTGCAAATCTGGGTTCAGAACCTCTCGTCTAATGCACTACATAGGTATGTAGGAAGCTTGAGGGCACCAAGAGACTTAAGCCAAGTACAAACACTATAAACAAGTACACGTGTCTAGCATTAGGGTTTCCTCGTCCTATAGATATTAATACTAACAATTAGCCGAAACTTTACGAGGAAACACCTCCTACAGGGAGCACGACCGACCAAGCCAGAATGTCCCGAAACTCGCAGTTGACCAAACAACCACTTCAGCAACTATACAAATCTTATTATCAAACCATATCAACCAAAGTTCTCCCTACTATACAAGTAACTACACGCTATCAAAACAACTCTTACACCCACTTGATCAACATATATCTCAAATACGGAATAACAGAACAATCACATATCCAGTGTTATCCCATCAAGTCCTCTACGAAGAACTTACCAAGAAAAAAAAAACCATAGCCATCTCGGTGCAAGTCTACCTTAGGTACTCACTCACCCACACCCCCAACGTACCTAATAGATACCAAAATGACAGACCACCACCCCCTATCCAGCGACGACCTCTACAAAGTCGTCGGAATCCTTTCCCTCATCATCGTGCACACATTCCTAGTTAGCGCCTTATTCCTCGCCGCGCCATACGTCCCGGACTACAGAGGCGGTGATATCGTCGCGATATGTTCGTCCATATTTCTGCTACCTATCACCGGGTTCCTCAGCTGCACGCTACGCTTCACCGACAGCGACGACATCGGAAAAGCAGTGCAGGTGCTGTTCGCCGCGTGGGTGGGCTTCCTGGCTGCGACCTCGTTGTGGATATACACGCTTGCAACCGCCTACTGGCTCGGTGCTGCCCCAGGCATGAGTGCGAGAAAATTCGTGAGGACGCTTGCATGGACATTCGTGTGGTATTGGTTTGGTTACGTGTTTGAGTGTAGGCTTGCCTACGGTTATCATTTTGCTGAATTCGCAGCCCCTTATCTCGGTATCTGAAGTACTAGATATAGACAGACGACCGAGGTCCTGCTAGGGCTATCCTGTTTATGGACGATATTGAATAGCGGATATTTGATGGAAGAGATATGTCACAAGACGTGGCCAGTCTCTTCCTTAAGAGCGACCAGTATAAATAACCCCTAGCTAGTGGGACCGCAATGCGTATTTAGTATCTTTACTACAGCTGAACTTAGAATGATTCATGGATAAGTCGTAATGTAGAATTTCCATATTCAATGATATACGGGTAAATCGAATAGTAAGCCTTGAGCCGAACCCGTTTTGAACTATGCCTCAGATGTCGAAGCCTACACGCCTTGTACATGACGTGAAAAGTGAGCGACTCAAAATGGTCAGTGAAGAACATAATGACCCATCCCATCTAATGCGGGCAACAGACGTCGGGAAAATTAACATTACCAATTATAATCCACTTTCGATGAATCGTCTCGTAATTTATTTAAGGTAAATAGTCTCATCGCGTTCCCAGCCGGCTCGAGGTTATACCCGAAATCAAACGCCTCCCCAATAGAACCAAATCAGTCCTGACTCGCGCTGAGATCCATGCTCTTGTCCCAGAGATTCCGCAAGATGCCTGCGACGCCGTCGTCTTCCCCATCTGCGTAACTAGACCCGCTCATTCGCTCGTGGAGTCTTTCCTCATCACCCTCAAACCCAGAATTCACACCGTTTACTCGTATTGATGTCCCTTGTGACGGCGTCGTAGGTCTTGATTTCGCCCGATCCGTAAGGCTTTGGCTTAAGCCAAGACGGCTTGCGCCACCTAGGCCTGATGTTCTTTTCCCGTTTACTATTCCGTTGCTTCCGTTCTGATTAGGTATATGCTGATTCTTTTTTGCGCTAGGCAGATGCGATAACCTCGCTATTGAACGCGCGATCGGATTCTGATACCGCCTAACCACAAGGTACTCCATACCCGTACGCTCAAGTAGCTTGCCCATGCGCGGATCCCGGTTGTCGTAGCTATAACCGCTAGCTAAGGGGCCTACGCCCACGCCCACAGCCCCAACGCCGCCCACCGGTTGCGGCGGTTCGATAGATGAGCTCGCTCGTTGGAGGTTCAGTTTTTGCTGCGTCCGCGACTTTTCCGCTGGCGTAGGTTTATACGCCGTCTTTCTTGTCCGAGGAGCTAAAGCACTATCGGTCTCGTCGTCGCTTATCGAGATTCGATAGTTTTGGTTTAGGTTACCAAGTGACTGAGGTCGCCGTACACCCTCGGGACGGTGGCTCGGATTTCGTGTTGGTGGATAGAAACCCCCATTCTCGACATTTGGACCAGAGCCGGGGCCAGAGCCGGGGCCGGAACCGTTAACAAAGCGAGAAATTAACTCTTCCTGTCCACTGCCTACCACGGCGGTATTCTTAGGTGTCCCGTACAGACTCGTTTGGCCGTGGCTGAGTTGGGACTCGGGCGAGCCCGAAGGATGGCGCACGGATACGGTCTCGGTGGACATCTGGGGCGGAGCACCAGAAGAGGGCGTACGTTGTAATATTCGCGAAGTCAAATATTGGTTATGCTGGGCAGTTTCGCGACGTGGCGAGGACTCCTTTTTGTGAATTGATATATCTTCGTGGGGAGTTTGAGGTCGTGAATTATCGCGGCTGTGCGGCGCTTTTCCTTCGGTACTAACAGCCGAGCCGCGTCTTGACAAATATGGCGATGCGGATGCGCTTGCATCAACCCACTCGTCTTCTTGTTCGCTACCGAGATCGAAATGGACCTGGTTCTTTGCGCCTTTTAGCTTATTAACGTCCTTGTGGGACGAAGATCGCTTAATGCTTGTTGTGGATTTGGGTCGCTTTCCTATTTCGACGTGCGAACGGTTGCGCTTCAAACTCGGCTGCGAGGGATTCTTGTTGAGATTGGAGGATGACGGGTCTTGCTGCAGTTTAACATCTGGATTGGAGTTACGGTGTGATTGGGCGGCTATAGGCGCGCGCTCAGGAGAGGGAGAAGGGGGCCGTCGTGTCAGTTTAGAATTGGATTTATGTAAGGTTTTAGACGATGGTACGCGAGGGTGAAAGCGTCCAGTAGCTCCTACAACGTGTTTTTGGGGTTTGGATCGGTGGTGTTGTTGGTGGGATGCATGGTCGCTGACTTGAGAATCGCTGTCATGACGGTTGACGGGCGGCCTTTTTGATTGGGGGGGATTTGCGGCGGAATTGTCATTATCCTTAGCCATAGTACATGCAATTTGCTGATTCGCGCCTATGACAAAATTCCGTCTGTCAGCCAGAACTGCTCAGCTGCCCAAGTGGGCGTGGGCGTGTCCGTCGGTGTACAGCCAGACGGCCGGGGGAGGGGTGTCCGGGGATAAGGTCTCAGAGGTCTGAAATTTTTGGAGAAAAGATGGGTAAGAGTAGTAGAAGGACTGGATATTATGGCTTGGGGTATTGTCGTACACAGGTAGAATACAACGCAAGATGCGCGGGTTGTATGATGTACTGAAGTACTGTCGTTTGGTACCGTCCCTAGGTACGCCCTTACGTCGTTATATCGTTATGTACAGTCGTACTGATTGTACTGTAAACCTGGTTTGAACCTGGTTTGACAAGAGATGTGTCGGCGGGGGGATGGACGATGTGGCTTAACAGACAAGTCTTAGATATTTCTTTTTGACTGGGCTGGTCGATAATCCCAACTCGGCTGGATAACTGGATGAGGATAGCTATTACGAAATGATAGTATTAATACCGTAGGTAGGTATGTGGGATGGAAGATCAAGTAACGTGCAGTGTATGCAATGCAAGCTCTATTAAGATGGCAAGCTATGTCCGCTACCACGGTAGCTGCCAAACAATTACTGCGTAGAGGGGAGAGATGAAGACGAGTATTAGAAGTAATTGATTTGAGGGTTTGAGGGTTTGAGTGTTTGACAATTTGACGATCGGGAAAAAGAAAAAAGAATTATCTAAGATTGATGTCTACTATGTACCAGAAATAATTACGACGCACTGTTCACATCAATGTCAATGACTTTAAGTTAGATTAGAAGTTGGACCCAGTTAAGGTTCGAGCGGTTCCTAATTCCTAAACTAGAGATATCCACCTATGTACCTTAGGTAGGTACAATAGAATTCGCTTTGAGTCTAGGTAGGTCCATACCTATCCGGACCGATCATCGGATCCGGAATTGGCGTTAAGCTAAGATATGGGGTGTATCTCATATATCCAATTGTATTCCATACCTTTACTTACACCATGCAGGTTACCTCATGTATATGTAAGTAATTCCACCACGCCTCGTACGTCAGTAATATAAACTTACCGAACTACCTAGGTACCTACCTATGCAGTATCGCCTCGAAAAGCAAACGAACATCGGTATCTCAAATCACTTAGCTAAAATGGGCGCAATCAAATATATCACTATGGAGGAACATGGCTATTTTCGACGAGTGGCGGTGAATCCCCTTTCCTCGGTAGACGGGATTGGCTTTGTTTCTAAATTACCACGTGTAGTAAGTGGGAGACAAGTGGGAGACCGGCTCGCTCCGAGGGAGGTAGCTAACAACGCAACGCGGGGTTTTTTTTTTGGTTTATGAAAAGGTACAAACATGAGGACGGGACGTTGCGCACATTTTATACCCTAGGTTAGGTACTTTAGATACATACAGGGGTACGCAGTGTAAATGTTGTACTACATACATCTACTAACGCCCGTGGGGTTCGCCCCGAGAACTTCCCCGTATTTCCTCTTTCGGCTTTCCAGAATCGATTTCGTGTTTCCTCGTCAGTGTTTGAGTGTTTCCTTTCCTCTTAACAATTCACTACAAACTCGCTACACATACATAACCGGCTGAATAGAGCCTCATTTCCTATGCGATCTACATCTCATACTTCCCTAGATGTTTCGTTTAATAAGATCACGGGTATACTGGCCAGCATGCCCGTCAATATGGAACAGATTTCCAAGTTTCTCGAACGTATCTCGTCGCAGCACCGTTGCGCTCGACCCTCACCTCCGGATAATTTCAAACGACAAGTGTCAATTTCGTAGCTGTTTGTATGCGCCGTCTCTTAAAATAAAAGAGCGGTCATAGTATCACTCTTCAACATCATATCTCACATCTTAATATGTTATGTTAAATTAGCGTCAAGTTACAATCAATTTGTTGACGGAATCTTGGCAAATCGTATATCTAGACATAATACCGTCAACATGGGCTATTACGAGACCAGCTTCTACGGCTTACTTACCCTCTGTGCAGGTTTGCTTGCTTCTCAGCCCACCCGGCGGAATGAGTTGAAGAAGCTTGCCGAATCACGAAAGCAGGTATCGCGATATGATATACATCCTGAAGCAAACTGGTACAAGGCCTACGGTCTCGTTATGGGCGCTGACTGGCTTCAAGTATGTTATAAAGGAACGAGATGCTCGTGCTACCACTTCCCATTAGCTAATTTGGTACCTCTATAGGGACCATACCTGTATTCCCTGTACCGCGATGAGCATGGCGTGTCTGAACGCTTAGTATCTACTCTCTTCGCCACAGGTTTCTTATCTAGCGCCATCAGTGCATACTTCATAGGGGCCTTAGCAGACAGGCATGGCCGTAAGGCAGTCTGTATGGTATTTTGCCTCCTTTACGCCATGTCGTGCTTTTTCACCGTCATTCCGTCCATAGGATTCCTCTTTCTAGGACGTATCTTCGGTGGCATCAGCACAAGCATCCTCTTTAGTGTCTTCGATAGCTGGATGGTAACCAACTTCCGGGAACGTAAACTGGTCGAACATGGATGCGATCTATCTAGGACTTATGCTACCACTAGTATCGTCAACAGCCTTTCGGCAATTGTGAGCGGAGTTGTCAGTGAATGGCTTGTGAGGGTGACTGGTACCAAAAAGGCACCATTTCTACTCAGTTCTGTTTTACTTTGGCTGGCCCTCCAGCTCATCTGGGCTCATTGGGTACGTAATATGTCTTTCTACTAACTTGAGTCTCAAGACTAATATGCAAGCAGGTCGAAAATTTTGGTTCAAAAGCTTCCGAGTCTTCAGGCAGACCCAAGACGTCCAAGCTCTGGTCTACATTGAAACAACCATCAATCTTAGCTCTCGGCTTTGCTTCGACCATGTTCGAGGGATCTATGTATCTTTTCGTATTCTTCTGGACACCGACCATCAAGTCGGTACAGAAATCTACAGGGGAGCTTCCTTACGGCTACATCTTTTCCAGCTTCATGGCGTCATCAATGGCAGCAGCATTGATATTCAACATTGTCATGCAGAAACGGCCCTTTAAGTATTCCCGCCTTCTTATCGGAATCCTCCTAGCGGCCAATTTCTGCTTTGTTAAATTAGCCGGCCCCAAAACCGAGGATGCTACTTTCTGGCTCTTCTGCCTTTTCGAAGCTTGCGTTGGTATGTATTGGCCCTGTACCGGCTACTTGAAAGGACGTCTAGTAGACGACGACGTTCGCGCCGAGGTTTACAGTATCCTACGAATCCCGTTGAATATCTTCGTCGTCGTGGCACTATCCATTGCTGGCGACAGCCAGCATTTCGGTAAAGTGTTTTCAACATGCTCGATGTTATTAACAGCATCTTTTGGTGCAATTTGGGCAGCAAGCCTAAAAGAGGACATGCCTTAAGACAGGGTGCGGTGAGAAACATTTCAAGTCATTCGATTTCGGAGATTTATTCAAGTCAATTTGACTTTAGGGGTCAAGTTGTCTAGAGCTTGTATATATGCGCGCCTCAAACCTAAAAGTTATTGCATTTTTTTATGAAAACCATTAGCATTGGCCTACAATCGTAAGACTTATCTGAATAACCGTTTAAGGCGGGTTTACTAAGTTAGGTGGTAGATACGACTTAACATAAAGACAGTACAGCTTAAAAACTTAAGCTTACTTTCTAGCGAGATACAATTTACGTCTATTCATCCAACATTGTACTCATCAATACTTCAGATGCCACTCAGCACTAATTTCTTAAACTTGTCAGGTGCTAAAAGGTTTCAGAACGCGATTGCTTGAGCTACCATTTTATGATGCGGGAGAATGTAATTAATATTCAGGGGTAAACTTAAGCAAAAGTCAACTGTGGAAATGAAATAGGGGGATAGTTCATATCTAAGTAAAAGTCATCTTCATTTCTCTATTGTCTTCTCGTGATGTATACCTGGCTTATCCTAATCGGAAACACTTCATAGATGAGTTACGTCTTTACTTTAATAATCGTTTACTTATATCAATCTAGAGTCCCTATAGTTATGGGGGTTCCGTGGATTTTCTAGACTCGTGTATATACGTCGGGCAAGGAGACCAAAGAGCAACATAACCTGGGAAGCTGGGCCAAAAAAAACATACATCTTTGAATAACGACAAGGTCTAGGAGGAATTTCCAAGGGGTGTATTGGAGTGTATTCAAGGCATTCAGCACTCGACCCCTTTCCTGGTTAGATCAGCCAAAATATTAGAGGACTCGCTCATAGTTAAGTTATTACAGGAAAACGCGAAGCGTTCTTTGATAATTAGATGCACCTGTAAGCAGTGTATAGTATGCCATATCATCTTCTACTCGGTACAGCTCAGCCGGAGGAAATATGTCATTAGATCTCCTAGCTGGGTACTAACCTCCTTCCTCTTAGCTAGCACATATTAGGCTCTCTAGTATCACCTCTTCAACGAGAAGCACGTTTACGTTAGAATGGGGCTTGCGCTTCTTCATCTAGCGGCTCTACTTTAATGGAGAAGAGCGAGGAGTCTCGAGAGTTCATCAACAGGGTAGTTGGATTGGGCTTCTACGGTTTCAACATGGCATGATATAGATTAAAATAATTCCTGGACTAGAAATAATAATAATTCCGCATTCCCGTAATATAGTTTGGCACTCACTGCGCCGCATGAATTTACACGTAGGCTACTACATACTAATAGCACGGAATAAGTATCAATAGCCCTACCAAAAGCAACAAGACTCAATGATGTCGACACCAAGTACACCAACCGCAATACGATCCGGAGTTTCGGCCATGATCCAGAAAGAATATATCTTAGTCACCAACCTTCCACACCGCCCTCAAAGGTCCCAGTCCCAGTCCCAAGTAGCCAGCCCAAAAATGCAATACCGCTTACCTCTGCGCCAATCCCTCCCAACTCATTCCCCTCGTCCTAGGCTAGGACTCCTAGCTTACCGAACATCCCATAGGATAAATCAGCCAAGTATTCCAAGCGAATACAAGAACTTGGCGGAACTAAGTAAACCCGAATCAAACATCTAGACCGTACCCGTTTGCCTGTCTGTTCGTATTATAATCCACCCAACTATTAGCCAAGGATCGCCGTCGCGCCAGATCAATTACATGCCCAGGCATCTAAAGTAGTCAAGTCATAGCGAAGCGATTCTCGCGCCGAGACGCCCGAGCTAACCAACTTCGGGTAACCAAGCAGACAGGCAAGGCACCCCCTATCTAGGACTTCAATTTAACGATCTTGACGAAGTCCAAGCGCGGACTTACTTTGGCTGAGCTAGCTAAGGAAGGATTCACTAATATTCTAGTTAAATGTTATTAGGTTTATTTGGATTTCTAATACAGCCATGTTATTAACGTTTACAAAGGTTCCGCGAAAGAAATTTAACGTTGAAACTCGAGTTGTAACTTATCCGACAACTGATAAATCAAGTTTCAATAACATCACAAATACAGAGTATAATAATGACTGCAAAATGAACATTTATATTGTCTGTACGTCTTGGTATCATGCGTTGGATGGCTGCACAGCCATCAAGCTTGCAAGATTCCGCCCAATCCTATATATATAACTCGTCCCCAAATAACCTCAGCTTAGGTATCGTCTCTTCAACTCCATATACATGCAATTAATCGTTCCGATGACTGACCCATCCCGTTCGCCGGAGCACCACAGCAGCCGGTAGTCTGTTGGACGTCAAGCCCGGGTAATCCATGTGAACCGTAATTATAAGCAATAATTTGGATGTAAAGAAGCGGATCGTCTTTCCCGTTGTTTTCTATAAGACGTGCGGGAAGGCAATCGAGCTCTAGCTATGTGCAAAAGGATCGTTCAGAAGAAGTAAAGACGGCCGGTTCGTAGCAGTGGAAACCACAGATTACCAATTCACCAATGCCAAAAGGGCGCTATTCGCAAAATTCGACATAAGATGCATTTACAACATGAAAGCGGCCATCAGGCAGGCACCGATAGCAGCAGTGCTGAAGCCAACCTTCATAGCACCGCCAGTAGTAGGCACGCTAGCAGGAGGAGCAGTGGCAGAGGTGCTGCTGCTGCTGGAAGCAGCGGCCTCGGTATCGCTACCACTGGAAGACGCGGACTCAGAGGCAGAGGCAGAGGCGGAGGCGGTAGCGGAGGCGCTGGCAGTGGAGGTGACGGTGGCCAGAGTGCTCTTGGCAGAGATCTTGGTGGAAGTGGCCTCAGAAGAAGTCTTGGTAGATTTGGCAGTGCTGGAGGCAGAGCTGCTGGTGGTAGTCTCATCATCGCTGCCGTCACCAGTGATGACATTGATGCTCTGGTAAGAACCGTCGGAGCCGTCAGCCCAGGAGTACTTCACAGCGTTCTTAACACCGTTGCTGTAATCTTGGATGGTTAGGGACTTGTAGTGAGCGACGAAGGGAGCCTGGCTGAAGTCGGTCTTGCCACCAGCCCATTGGACGGTACCCTCAGGAGCATCGGAACGACCAGCAACCCAAGTACCAAGCTTGATCTGCATGGGGGTCTGGGGGAATCGAGTGCCTCCCTTAGCATCGGCATACTTCAACTCGCGAACCTGATTGTCATTGATAAACCAGCGGACGTAGTCCTTAGTCCAGTCGATAGAGTACTTGTAGATGTTGTCCTGGGGGTTGGCAACATCGTGGTAGGCACCACGGTCATAGGTGGTAGTATCACCCTTGCCGAAGTAGTTGGACTGGACCTGAGTCTTGTCACCACCAAGCCACTCCCAGTCGATCTCGTCAAGATCGTCGGACTGTAACACGAAGCTAGTAACTACACCGGTGCCGGGGGCAGCCTGGAGCTCAACATCGATCTTGCCGAAGAAGATGTACTTGTTGCTGGTGATAGTAGGGGCTTCAGTCTCCTTGTTGATGGTGAAGACAGCACCGTTACTGTCGTAGGTAAGCTTAGTACCATCGGCAGCCTTAAAAAGGCTGTTCTCTCCCTTGGTGAAGTCAACGGTGACAGTAGAACCTAGAGCAGGGTCATCCGGGCACTCTAATATTTGGTGTTAGCAATTAAAACGATACTCCTGGACATGATTTTGAAGCTAAAACTCACTCTTCTTAGTGGGATCGCAGGCAGTATAGGTCTGAGCTGAAACGAGCTGGGTGGCTGTCAGGACCACCGCAGCGGTAGACAAAAGCTTGGAGAACATTTTGGTCGGTGCTGAAGCGAGTGGGTATCTAGGATTGCTCAAGTCTGATCGTGAAAAGACGAGCAGAAGAGCACAGGGTTAGGGGAGACAGGAGTAGATTTATTAAAAAGTTGAGTATTAGCTGAAGGGGCCTGCTTTAACGAGAGACAGAAATTGTTTTTCAATAAAACGAAGCGGACGGGCCACGCTGCACAGTAGGTAAGACAGACAGCCGTAGAGAGGAATGTGTTGTATGGTAAACGAAGGTGTGGGAATAATAGAAGAAAGGGGGACATTTTGCAGGGAAGTGGGCGCGGCTATGATTTTATTTACAAGCCAACGACCGAGTAACCAGCTCTTTCCATTGAATATCCTTTCTCGTTCTTACTCTGTACCCGAGTCGCTGCCTATTATGGACCATTCTAGGACGCCGAGCCTGCTCGTTTGGGTAGGTAAGGCCTCTTCTTTCCCCTGTCTGGGATGGTCTAGGAAGTCCAGACTCGGTAAATCTACTAGTCCATAGGCAGTTAGAGCCGAGACTGCCCAGCAGGGAGTGCTCCAGATTTGTGGCTCTGCTGAGCCATCTGAACCAATCAACTTTCTAGAATACTGATGGTCCTAGAAAATGACAGGGGATACCCCTGGCTGCGCCCCATCATCTCGCATCGTAATAATCCCCTGTTCGTATCCTAGGGGCTATCATGGGTCACAGTACTTCGTACATAGAAAAAATAATAATACATAATATGTAATAATAAACGGGCAGATCGTATCACCCCATCGCCATCCCAAGAAAGTGACGTTGCAGCTTCTATAGCATCGCGGTTAAACAACGATCGTGACCCTTTTGCGCACATTGCTCAGATGACTAAATAAGCATAAGTGGACTTTATTAATGATATAAGTGATAAAGACAAGCAAGGGAAGTCACGTCAATGAGTAAAACGATAGATGACATATCTCGCCATCTCGTTAATCATCAATGCGTGTTGCGCATGTTAGTGTGTCCGTCCAACCGGGGATGAAGTGGATATAGGATGTTGTTGTCGCTTCGGCGAAGGTCCAGTGCTGACATTCGGCTTTTGACAAAAATCCGATGGGAATACTAAGTCAAAAGGCTATGAAACGCCGGCACTATGTACGGAACAGGCAATAGACTGTGCCGCAAGTTCTGGGCTTTCTTGAGTTTCTTGGGTAAGTTACATAGAATCTTGTCAGGAGTTGAATGGAAGATTTCTATGAAAAGAGCCATCATCATCTTGGATTAATTGATCCAGACCCAGAAAAGCAGTTGCCAATAACGCCCGAATCCATCTTCCTAAATTCCCAAATTCCTAAACCCGAGGTAACAATAGCTACCTCCCAGGACTAGGTACAGGGTAGTAAAGCCCCATATTCCCCATATTCAAACCTTTTTGTTCAATAAGTAGCAATACATCCCTCTTCCTAAAATCGACTTCAAAAGCCGTCTTCACCTCACCTTAGCCTTTACGTTATTTAAGGATGCATGTATATGGTTCTTGGCTGCGGCACGGCGCTTTCTGGAACCAACCGTTTACGGTTATACGGCAGCTATTGGGACCAGCCTAGGTTCAGCTGCAGCAGCTAATTCACGCCAAATCTCAGCCTGCATAAGGGGTCCCCCCTTCTAGCGACCACGCCCTAAAAGGTAGTAATTTATGCCAGGTACCAACGAAATGCGCGCTATGCAGGGATCATAAAGTAATAGCCTATCGCATAATTAGCTAGCAGCAGACGGTTTAGCTTGACAGCTTGACAGTTTGACAGCTTTGACAGGATGAATTGTGAGGTAATTCATCCTGCTACTTATACACTAAAAAGTATCAATCCATCATGGTTTCGTGGTGTAGTTGGTTATCACGTCAGTCTAACACACTGAAGGTCTCCAGTTCGAGCCTGGACGAAATCAAATATTTCTTTTTTCGTAGATCTTAACTTGGATCATCTTTTTGCATTTTCGACATGTTTGTTTCGCATTCGCAATTTACAACCCGAGTACAGTTTTGTTGGTTTTCGGATCAACGAGGCATACGGATTAGTACTTTTGTAATTCGTAATTCCCACGTGAAATTGTTAGTATGTGATACCCGAAACCATATCAACCAATTGTTGTTTTTGGCATCTTTTTGACGAGAACCCCTCCAGACCGCCAAGCAACGCCAAGCAACGCCACAAACAGACCGAGAACCGATCGGTCGTGCGTTAAAGATGGGTTAAAGATGGCGCATGCAGCCCTGCGACTGTGCGACTATGCTGCTGTGCTGTGCTACCTATGATATCGATCCGACACTATGGTCGAAACAGGCCCGATTGTGTCAATCAATCCACCGATTCCCTCTCCATACTTCCGTCAGGACTGCGCGACAATTCCGAAACCTGACCTGGAGTCGACGACGCACAGCCCCTTATTATTCACTATTATAGTGTACACAACGCAGGAATTCCTATCTTCAGATTTTCGATTTGTAAAAATAAAAAATAAATTTCGCACTTGTCTAAGACTAAGATGCATAGATGCGCTGACATGCATAGGCGGTCGCCGAATAACGAACAGACAAGAAGCCGCCCACGTCGCAAGATGGTACGGTAAGCAACTATTTGATGCCGCCGGGGTAAGCTTCGTATTCCGTGTTCATATGACCGAATCTGGCTGAACACGGTCTCGGGGGTTCCGCGATCACGAGGGGCTTAGACGGAGGGAACAAAAGAAGCAAAGAATGAAAATGAAAAAGGCTCGGTTTAGGTACATACTGTAGGTAATTAGTCATTTGCATACTACGTAGCAGCAAGCGTACCTGCCTCCTAAGGTACCTAAGACGGGAAAGCGGGTAGAGCTATGGTTATTAACTCTAAATTTAACTTTTTCGTCATCCTTCTTTCCTACCAGCCTCCACACTTCACACTTCTTTACACATTCCTTCACGGCCACCCAACTTCGTTGTTGAAGCCCAAATAACTCCGCCTCGGTTATGGATCTCTTTACTTCGATCTCCCCACGAAATACTACAAGGCTATACTACGTCTATGTGTTATACGGTATCCGCAAATCTTTCTTGAATATTCTTCTTAAGATACTCTCTTCGATTGTGCAAGTCAAATAGCTTTTCGGTTATGACTGCTTTTACACGTGGCGTAACTCGTGTCATTGGTATAGTAGTAATGATCCATGAGGCTCTAACCAGCTCGTATTTTATTCGCTTTCATAGTATGGCATTACTACATATGCGCAATACACGATACGATATAGAGAGTATCGTAGAATACTTGGTTATAAGGTATATTAGGTATCTCATGTCACTTCTAAAGCAAGATTGAATTAGTCTCCGATAAGTATTGAGAGTCCGTCTCACACAACTATCAACTGTCTGAAACCACGAATAAAGCATTAATACCTAAGGTATATTGCGAGGAAGCTTGGGCGACCAAAAATAAGAATATGGAGTAATAAATGTTGATAGCATAAAACCTAGTCAGACGCACGTTCCTTTACCCTGACTGATGATATGGTAGGAAACCAGCAATGGCCAAGAATACAAACTCGTGTTACCCAAGTCACGAATATAGCTCGGGCTTGGTAAATATCATCCATAAAGCCTCATCTTAACTATTACACTCATTCATTGGTCGCTCGCGTTGCGCGAAACCCCTCACAAATTATATCTCGATCTAGGCGGCATGTCTGTCAGCTGTGCAGATCAGTGTAACTACCTCCTAAGCATTAGGTACACTACAACACACGCTGCTCCGATGAAATGTCTATTGCGGAGGAACAGTCCGAAGAGGTCGGCGCCATGCATCAATCATGAACTACTGACCCCTTTCCAACCCATTCACTTCAAGTCCCATGATAGTAATCACCTGCCATGAGAGCAGGATGATAAGACTCCTTTGATGAGGATGTTCCTCTCGCATCGTACCGGCGCCCGTTATCTCAGTCATTGTCTCAGATATGATACATGAAGTGTCAATTCGATATGCTTGATTTTAATTCAATAAAGTTTCGAATCTGTGTTAAACTTGCAGTTGTTCTTGAAAATAGGTACTTATGGAAGATTAACTAATTCTCGCTATTTTTACTTACTCGGATCGCAATGTTTCAGTATATTTCATAAGTATATCGACGCCCGCATGATTATAAGACAACGTGATAATAAACGCTAGAAACGGGATGCGCGTAAATGATGTTATTGTAGGAACCATGCCTCCTTCTGGTTTAGCTCTCGTAGATTCATCTTCTGGGCTTGGTATTACTATCTGCAGTTCATGATCAACCCCCTTTAAGGAAGACCACCCTTTAATAAACCCTGGTATGCTATGCTTCAGACTCTCGTTATTAGATGCCCGGAAGCCTATGCTCTCAAAGGTAATGCGTATGGTTCTGTTGATCGTACCTAACCTCAAGGCCATATGAAGCTGATAGCAACTCTCGGGCTATTCGGTGCGGCGATTTTAGCTGTGGAAGCGAGGTCTGTCCATTTACCACCAGGTGAACCATTTAAGATGTAATCTAATGTCAACAGTCCCGAGATAGATATAACCGTCCCTCGCCTTCCCAAGCAGAATAACTACCCACCAAGCGGGCCTCAGCTGTCAGCTAATCCTCCCGGAAACAAGTCATATGAATATATAATCGTAGGTTCTGGCGCCGGGGGCTCTCCCCTTGCAGCCCGGTTGGCACTCGCCGGTCACAGTGGCATGTGTATACCGTCATCTAGCTCCTTTCCTCTCCATCTCCATCTTGAGATAGGTAAGAGTGCCCTTTCGAGATCTTCCTATGAGCTACTAGCCCCGGTCCTCGACATGTCTAAAACATAACCAATCGCTAAATCATGCCATAGTTCTGCTGATCGACGCCGGTGGCGACCACGGCAGGTTACGCGAGGTCGAGATCCCAAGTCTTTATATCGGGGCATCGGAAAGGACCGAGCTGAGCTGGGGTATCTTCACTCGACACTATGAAGATGATGCGCAGACCAAGAGAGATAGAAAGTTGACGTACCTCGCACCAGATGGGGACTATTACAGTGGTGTGAACCCCCCGGAAGGCTCTGAGATACTCGGGAACTACTACCCTCGCGTCGGTGGATTAGGGGGCTGTACTCAACATCTAGCTCTGGTGCCCCTTGCGCCGGCGAGAAACGACTGGGACTATATCAAGAACCTGAGGAGTGATCAGAACTGGGACGCAGAGAATGAGACGTTATTTCAAGAAATTGGAAAAGAATCAATACCTGTCCCCTAGTGATGATACCACCAAGGCCCATGGATTCAACGGCTGGTTCCCGACAACCATCGAACCTCTGGCCCTATACACCAGCGATTTGAATTTCGTCTCCATTATCCTCCCGGCCGCCTCTGCAATGGGTATCCAGACAGATAGTACCCTCAGCTACATTCGAAACTCCATCAGGGGCAACAGCATTGCCGGGAAAGTGTGTGCACAACATGCGCAAGAGGCTTTAGCAAATTGACATCCTCAACGCAGGTATTACCACCGAGGATCGCGTAGAAAATCGCAGATCGTCTTGATAAGGTGGGTGTCTTTTATTTACCTCCACCCCAACTCACCCCCTCAAGCCAGTCCCACAGCGTACGCGTACACATACGCATGCGCACACGCACTACATCTGTCTTACGCAAACTCCACAGTATTAACTAGACGATAGCTCCTGGTCTCCAGACCCCGACAGCACCTCGGTGCTCAGCCGCGTCCCCTTATCTATTAGTTCCCCTGAGTAGAAGCGCTCGACGCCACGGAATTGGATCTACGACATAGCCACGGCTAAGAACGCTGATGGCTCGAAGAAGTATCCCTTAGACATTCCATTGTATACTCTCGTTACGAAGGTGAACGTCGATACTACGGGCGATAAGCCCAAGGCTGTTGGCGTCGACTACCTGTATGGCGAAGCTCTGTACCGGGCCGATCCCCGATCCAGTCCCACCGGAAAATCCGGTACCCCCGGATCTGTCTCGGCGACTCGCGAGGTCATCGTCTCAGGGGGGGCTTTCAACACGCCACAGATCTTGAAACTCTCTAGCATCGGTCCGCCGCGGAGCTAGAAAAATTCGGTATCCCGGTTATCAAGGATCTTCCCGGCGTCGGCGGTAACCTACAGGACCGATATGAAACCGGTGTAACAGTCTCATCGTCGAGTAACTTCACTCTCTTCAAAAACTGCACATTCATCACAACAGACGACGACCCATGCTACGAAACATGGGCGCAGCCAAGTCCCGACCCCTTAGCACACGGCTCATACGCTACCGACGGCATCTCCATGGGCATGTTTCTGCGATCATCGACTGCTGGCCCCGATCAGGACCTATGGGTTGGGTAGGGAGCGTCCCGGGTCTGTATCAGGGGTACTTCCCGGGCATGGGCAGCACGGTGATCACGCCGGCCGAGAAGAACTACTTCACGTGGCTGGTACTCAAGGCGCACTCGCGCAACAACGCCGGCACCGTAAACCTGACTAGTGCTGACCCCCGCGACACGCCGCGTATCACGTTCCGCAACTTCGGCGAGGGTGACTCGTCTCGCGCGGCGGACGCAGATAAGGATTTGCAGGCTGTGGTGGTATGCAGCACTGCGTTTTCTCTCTCCCTTCCCCTTCCCTTTGCCACATTACTCGGCCTGTCTCGGGAACTAGTGCTTCAATCAGTCAGTCAGTCAATCAACATTACTGAGGAGCTACTACCGAGACATGCATACCCAACCTCTTAGACCACTATCTTACCTGCCGAAAGAAGAAACTGCTAACTGCTGTTGTTGTAGGACGGCATGCGTCTAGCGATCCAAGTCTTCGACACCCTCGAACCGCTCGAGACCGGCGAGTCGTTCGAGCGCGTGTGGCCGCCTGCTGAGATACAGCCGGACGAGGACTTGAAGCAGTGGGCGCGTGATGAGGCATGGGGTCATCATGCTTCGTGTACTTGTCCGATCGGTGCGGATGACGACCCCTTGGCTGTTTTAGATGGCCAATTTCCTGTTCGTGGAGTAGATGGGTTGAGAGTCGTGGATGCGTCGGTGTTCCCGAAGATCTCGTAAGTCTTCGTTCTTATGTGCGTATGTGTATGTGTAAAGCTAATCTCAATTGATATAGGGGATTGTTTCCTGTGGTGGGGATTTATATGTTGGTTGAAAAGGCGGCTGATGATATCCTCGTAGATGTAAGATAAAGGGTTGTATATTTATTTACCATATATACCTCTGGATTAGATGTCACAAGATCTGTGGCACTTTGTCATTGTTCCTGTTTAGTTCGTGTACATATACAGATATCCTGACTTACGAAGAATATATTCCATCCGAGACAACAATAGTTACCCTGCTGCATTAGATTCACCTTTATACAATCCCACAATCCTCTTACCAACCGACTCCCCGGAGAGATACGCGCCAGCAACAGTACCAGACTCCTCGAAAGGGGCTGCGTGTTCGCCACAGAACCACAGTCCGCGGTCAACGCATCCTTGCCGGATCGCAAGGATATCCTGATCCGCCTCTTCAACGCCGACCTGGAAATTGCAGTAGCTCGCGTTGCCGCACAGGTCGTCCTTAAACCATTCGGTGGCTAGGATTGCTTTTGGAACGCAGACCTCACTCGCAACGTCGTAGCCGGGAAGCCGTGAGTAGTAGGGCTGGAAGAAGTCCCTCAGGAAGGCAAACTTCTCGGCTTTTGGCTGCCCGTGAATCGCGTTGACGATGTAGCGCGAGCAGTCGCCGTATATGTAGAAGAGGATGGTAGGGTGTTTGTTGGGCGCGGCGAGAGCGGCTAGGTTCCAGATCTCCTGGGGCCAGCCCTGTGGGTTGGTGTCGTGTGCATACAATGGTGTAAGCCAGTTTGTATAGGCAGGAAATAAGTCAGCCGGCGTATCTGAGATCCAAAACGCGGAAGGAAACGTAATGAAGACTTTCTCAAGTTGTGACAGCTTCAGATTGTGGAAGGCGGAACTCAATATTGACGGCAGAGCGGGCTCGAAGCAGCTCATGTTTTTCTGGAGCCATCCTAGCGGTGTCGCCATCACTACCTGATCAAACTTGTACTCATTCCCGTTCTCTATTCCCAGAATGATCTTCTGAGATTTATCGTGATGTGAAGTATTAACTGATATAACTTTGGCATTGAGTATGACCTCAGCCTGTTCAGTTGCTGCCTTCGCGATTCTGTTTAAAATCGCAGAGTAGTTCGACTCGACGAAGACTTCTTCTATTATCTTGTTAGATTTTAGTGATATGTGTGTCTTTCATGTAACCTTACCACCGCCACAACATTCTTCCATCCAAGCGAATCTTAGACTCTGTTTCCAGACAGGCTCGCCAACGTAGGCACCCCACATCTCACTCATTTGGATGAGGACTTGTCGGTCTTCTTCATCTTCCAGCTCCTCTGCTGCTCTCTTGCTGATGAAATCGTATAGAGACTCTTCTCGTGGAATGCTCTTCCCCCTATCCTTCTCCCGAGCTGCCTCACTAGTCTTGAACGCTTTTTCGATTATCTCCCACAAGAGAGTTGAAAGCCTCTCAGACTTTTCCTCTGGCACTTTATTGCCTGACGAGTCATAGATGAGTTGCTTCCCGTTCCAATGGTGAAGAGGCGTCTGAGTCTCGACTGCAAGCTTTAGGATTGGGTGTACGTCGCCGCTGTCCCAGGTGTGAATCCAGTTTGGGCCACTATACTTCGACAATGAGAAAATCGTTTCAGTAAACGTCTTTTTGAAGGGCACTAGGATGCATGGTTTAATCACATGTCAACAGTGTAGCCCAACTCATCTGATTGGCATATCTGAATAGACTCGTTTAGCTTTTACTCTAGTAGCTGTAAGGGATTCACTCACTCTCCCACCGATTCTATTCCTGGCCTCGAGAATGGTTACCTTGAAGCCGTGAGATAAGAGGATATCTGCGCATCGAAGTCCGGAGACACCCGCACCCACGATACCTATATGCGGTTTATCGCCGTTTCGGCTTTCCATGGCTGAGCGCGATTTGCTAACCTGTTATCTGTTGGCCTAAACTGAATTATAAGTCTTCAGGCCTAGTGTCCCCTAAGTAAGGTATTCTCAATCATGAATATAAAAAAAGGAGTATTCGATAAACAAATTCATGACAGAGGCAATTATCCCGCATAGTTATGGATGTAAATACTCATTATCGATGAAAGCAGGCATTAAACATGGAGTCACTAAAGCAGCTTGCAAGGCAGATAGATTGTGCCGAGTCTACGCGTGAATGGGCCTACAGGATTAAAAACGCTGGCGCTTATTTGAACTCTGCGGTAGGTCGTGAACGCCACCAATTCTCGGCTAGAATTCAGCTCCCGTATTTTAGATCAGACGCTACAGCTCACTCGAATACTCTAATAACGGAGGGATACGTAAATATAAACGATGAAACGCTTCTTCATAAAACGCTGAACTATGCTAAGAGGTATGATGCAAGATAATCTATAAAACAGGGAAGAGTAATATATATAAATGTCACAAGCTTTGTGACCTTTCCCAGTAATATGCTCCCTTTATACCACGTGCTGTCTATACATAATACCTAGGTACCCAGTAACTATATGATTAATCTATCCCTTTTTACCTTTCTATACGCGCAACCGGCTTCCCACAAGCAAACCAAGATACGCAAGGACGCGGTATACAGAGCCGATAGCAAGTAAATATCCCAAATTACGCCAATGCCAGTCCAGATGGAAGCCCACCTGCTGCGCAGCCAACTCCACATTGTAGAGATACCGGAAAGGGCTGACGAGCTGTCCGAAATACAGCTCGGCAAGCCACGTACCCGGCGACGCTCGCCATAACCACTCCACGTGCCAATCTTTGACACTGGATAAAGGCGGCGCTGCACCTGATAAGATACCGACGATCAGGCTGATCATGGTCGCTATTAAAGGCGCGTCTTCCCGTCGGACTATCATGCTGATGCAGCTAGCGAGGCCGTAGATGCAGTAGAAGTATACGAGGTTTGCGAGGAAGGCCGTGCCCCAGGGGATAATAGGTACAGAGAGCAGAAGGATCACCGTCGAGAAGTGCATGCAGCCGAACACCATACGAGGTATAACGGAGATGTTCTTCGCGAGGTAATATGCGATGCGCGAGTGGCCTGCTTCGGATTCTCGGCGGTATAGCAGCATCTCTTCCGAAAAGACCTTGACGCCGGGTGCAGCGGCCACGAGACCAATGGCAATGGCCATTAGAAGCGCTAGTTCGGGAACCGACTTGATATCCGTTGCTAGGGATAGGACATCGTACGGCGCATTGTAGATTCCAGTGAACAGTACACCCTTTTTCGAGTTCTCGGCCAATCCAAGGAGTAACCCTGCCACCGTAGCCAGTCCCATCTCGAAGCAGAATGCTGACTTTGTTCGCCATTGCTGGAGCATGGCGCGCGACAGACATAGCCAAAGCTGTTTCCAACGCGGCGCACCTCGCTTCTTCAACAACTCTCGACCCTTCGAGTTGTTCTCCGCGATAGACGTCCTTGAGTATCTAACCGAAGCATGCTTTTCCTTAATCGACGCGTTTCTACTTGATTGTGCCCAATTTGCAATCAGTGCTTCCTTCGATATGTCGCCGGTCCGCTTATATATCCTGCCATTTCCGGTAATAATATCCGTAACAACGTCGCCGAAGTTGCTGTGCGGGGGGAAGTTGAATCCGACAGTTTCGAAGAATTCCTGCACACCGGCCTCCGGTCCCTCGTAGATGATCTGTCCGTTTGCTAGTAAGATGAGGTCGTCGAGCATTTCGAAAATCTCCATACGCGGCTGGTGGATGATCACAATAACGGAGATGCCTAGTCGTGCAATCGCTTTAAGTGTTCGCATAATAGAGGACGCAGCCGTGGCGTCAAGACCGCTGGTAGGTTCGTCGAGGAAGATGGCCATAGGGGCTGCGGCGAGTTCCATTCCGATACTAACTCGTTTCCTTTGGCCACCACTAATAACGGGCTTCCCAACGCTGCCGACTAACGAGTCGCGGACGTGAGACAGTTCCAAACAGTCGATAACCGAGTTGACGTGAGCTTTTATGTCGACATCCTTCCAAGTTTGAGGTAAACGTATTCTTGCCGAGTGGAGGATATTTTCGTAGACGGTCAGTTCAGGTAAGACAACATCGTCTTGCGGCACGTAACCAATGAGCTTCTTATATCTCTTGATTTTCCCAGGCACGTTGTTAATCATGACCGAACCGCCGGTATTAGTCGTTTTCCCCATAAGAACGTTTACAAATGTACTCTTTCCGGCACCAGAACCGCCCATGACCGCCGTTAAAGAACCACGGTCGATGGACCCCGTAACGTTTTGCAGGATCGGCTTCGGGTTACCTTTGGGCTGGAAACTGAGGTCGGAATAGGCGAACGATAGACCGAAACGAGCGCCGTCGGTTGCTCTCCGCATAGATTCAACAAATGCTCGGAGCTGTGGCGAGAATCCGCTTTCGGTAATGTTCAATGTAGAACTCTGCGGCGTTGGGAATTCCAGCGCAGCTTCGAAGCCAGTCCACGCATCTTGACCCGGCATGTATGTCGCCTGCATCGGCACCATCTCATGGTCATTGTCTACGTCGTCGGAGATCTCCTTGTAGCCTGTGACCTTTCCCACAAATGTAGTCCTCCTTTTCAACTTATTGCCGATGGATTGTTCGCGGGCCCTCCAGAAGCGCTTGCGAACGTAATATAAAACGAGTAGTATAGCTATGATGATGTCGACGAGGATTAAGACGAGGATCGGGATTAGGAATGTTTCGAATGACGATCCTTCGGGACATCTACTTCCAACGCTGCACGGTGTAGGCGAGGGGGCACCGGGTTGACAATACGAGCCGGCCGGACAGGTAATCATTTCGTTGCGTCCGGGCGGACAGTAATACCCCTGTTGGCAAACAACGGGCTCGAAAGGACCCATCCCGAAGTTTTTACCATTGTAAGTGCAAGTGAAACCCGCCAGTCTCGCTATCTGGCACTCTGTTATAGGAGGGCAGAATTGCGGTAGCGAGTTTACGGTGTTATTAGTACCTAGTTCAGTCATCAGCACGCCTTCTGCCATGAAACTATTTGGACTTCCGGCTTACATAGAAAACCCTCATTGCACCCGTTCGTCTCCCAGCTCGACGCATTCTGAATCGTGATCGGAAGGGCTCCGGGTCGCCAACAAGGGGCGGCATCGACAGGCGTGTCATCTCTTTCGAGTTCTGCTGCAGCTCTATAATAGGAAGTAGAGAAAGATGTGCGGTTCTCGCCCGTGCACGCTCGATCCCAGACGCTAAGTTTGCTAGTATCGAGATCGATTAAGGTATGAGTAGAGTTATCTACCATGAAAGCCTTGCTGGTGTCGGGATGATTCGTCGCATCCGATATGAGGAGCTCCTCGGGTATCTTAGAAGGCCCTATACTATTAAACCACTTCCCAGTCGTCACATTATAAACACCCTGCGTCTGGTTTCCTATACACTGCCATGCTATATTACTGTCTGAACTCGTCGTTCCCCGTAGAGCGCAGAGACATGCTTGCGTATCGAGAAAAAGCGGCCCTCTGGATGGTTCTTGAGGGAAGAAGGGGTCTTGCGGGATGGCGAGAATCGACATTGTGACAATTCCGTTGCGTCTACCTCGGCGGGATCCGCCTCTAGGAAATAGTCGGTGTAATATCTGTGTCGAATCAACTCGATGTGATAGACCTATTCATCGCCAGTTGGCAGTAAACAACAAGTTAAACACGGTTTAGTCTAAGTCGGATTCAATAAATGCTATACTTGAGTAACAGTGTATAGAAATATAAAAACTTGGACAATGTTACTCGACGAGCGCGGGTTTCCCGAGACAACTCCTCGACAGACTGTCTAACATTTTGGTAACTAATCCTAAAGGCCGTAGAAGGTGGGATAGGCGGCCACGACATTCTACATAAAGGGCCGGTATGCTGATCCCGTATAGGATACGGGTCCTTGGACCTGCGGAAAGTCATCCTGATCGGGAAATGACCTATCGTGGCTGCGCATGGCGATGAAGTTGAAAGGATCAACAGCGAAGGACTTTTTTTTTTTTCCAACGCCCTAGACCCCCTACAGCTGTGTAAATTACAAAACTACCTTACCTACTAGGTATACCTAACTGTCAGCCTTACCGACTCCCTGTTTCTTTGCTTCTCCCTAGCATCTCTAGCGGCTCTTGTGCGGCGATGCAACTTTACAATAGCTTAGCGGTGCTGAGCTCGTGGGTTCTATTAATAGAGGTGCTACGTCAGGCTTAGCATACTTATCAGACAGTGTGCATACTAGTGAAGACTACAGCTATTTTCTTCGAAGAATAAGACCTAATGTACATAGTGGATCGAGCCGTGGTTCCATTAATAACACAATGCCAGCTCTCGCACTCTTGACAAATCATACCACCCTGGTGACCCCCGTTCAGACTGAAAAGTCGGAATCGAAAGACGAATGTGAGAAATACAAAGGAATGCATAAATAAAATATAACAATAACATAAAGAATTGTTTTTTGAACGAACGAGCTCAAGTCATAACGTCTCAACTATGTTCGAGTTTTAGCGGGTATGCGAATCATCCGAGCTTCATCACGAATAAATCCTTCACCGCGCTACTGAGGTGTGGCTGGCGCGGGTAGAAAGACTGCGGGTTCGCAAAGCCTACTAAACCCTTGTTGGTTTGGTTCATTTTGCTGTTGGCTCAGCATCTAATTCCCGAGCCAGGCGATCTCTCTCGGCCTCTGCTTCATCGAACAGGATGACTACTTCCGAGTGACCGCGGGTTGTAGCTATCTGCATCGGTGTGTCACCGTCGACATCGACGTTGTACAGGTCAGCCCCGTGCTCAAGGAGGAGCCGAGCTATGGCGAGATGTCCCCCATACGCACACATACTAAGTGCCGACCAACTACATAGTACGCGTCAGTGTGTCTCAAAATAGCACCTTCAGGGTTTACTAACCCCCATCGATCTTTTGCATTCACGTTGCACCCGATGCTGAGCAACTTGGCAACTTTGTCAATGTCGCCATCGCTGGCTGCTTGCACAAGTGCATCATCCTTCACAAAGAGCTTTCGGATAAGTCTAGTAGGGTCTGTGATTGACTTCTTCCTGACCGATGGAGCGGTGGATTCGACGGTAAGTGGTTTGAAAACCTCGTCTAGAGGCCTTTCGGCCTGCTTCTTTCGCATCTCTAACTCGAACTGTTCGTTCGCTGTATTCATATCAGC